GTGTGTCTCTCTGTGTGTGTGTGTGTCTGTGTGTGTGTTTGTGTGTGTGTGTGTGTCTCTGTGTGTGTGTGTGTCTCTGTCTCTGTGTGTGTGTGTGTCTGTGTGTGTTTGTGTGTGTTTGTGTGTGTTTGTGTGTGTGTGTGTCTCTGTGTGTGTGTGTGTCTGTGTCTGTGTCTGTGTCTGCGTCTGTGTCTGTCTCTGTCTCTGTTTGCTTGCTTGCTTGGGGTATGGATCCCTAAGGGGATCCTGGCCGTAGGCCTACCCCCCAACGGTCCGCAGCGGTCGACTCTTCTCTGTCTCTGCCTCTGTCTCTGTCTGTCTGTGTCTGTCTGTGTCTGTTTGTCTCTGTCTGTCTCTGTCTGTGTACCGATCTCAATCTCTGGTTCACAGTTGAATGTCATAACCTGCAGCTACCCATCCATCGTCCGTCTGCCTCTGTCTCTGTGGAGTGACATTCTCGAAGGTCCCGCTCAGCAATGGCACGAAGCACAGACTACAGTTGAGCATCACATGTCCGCGTCTTTGTGGGCTGTCGTCTACCCTTCTCCTGCTGCCGGCTGGGCCTTCTGCACATGCCAGCTCCGGAGCTTGTCCAATGCTTCCATGGCCGAAGCGCCCGAATCCAGGGCGGGGTGCGCAGTGTGGCGAATGGAGGTGTAGACATCCTGAGACGCTTCTTTCAGCTTCAAGGCGCAGTTCGGCTCAGACGAAGGTTTGACGGTCTCAGGGAAAGGCCACTGCTGGTCGCTGGTTTCAGGGTACAGATGGTTGTGGTAGGACTGCAGGAATGCACTTTTGGCATCGTCGTGCACCCGAGGAGACCACGAACCAAGTGAGGATGCGCTCTGGGTCTTCGTACATCTCAAAGATCTCCCTAGTGAAATTGGCGTGAGTGTCCAAGAAAGCCTCCAACAGAATACGTCGAAGTCATGGGGCTGTCGAGCAACTCTTGAAAAGGGCCCCGAAGCTGCCTCCCATTCTGCAGATGTCTTCGCCTCTCGCAAGCCGACCAAGGAATCCTTGCAGTTGATGCGGAACATAATCAGTGCAGTGCAAGACGGGCCTGCCCGACCTTGTAAGACAGTGCCACGATCGCAGACCGGGACTTGTAGAAGTGCAGAAAGGGACTGCGTTGCCTGAGGCTGAAGCAGGCTTTGACCATTGCCATTAGTCCAAAGGCCCCGAGTCTGAGTAGCACGCTCGCACAAGTAAAACAGGTCAAGCCTTCCGTGGTCCGAACCTACCTGGGAGCATTCGCCCAAGCAAACCCAGCAAGAAGCACTTGTCTGAATGTTCACTCTCCATCACAAACAGTCAAGTGGCAAACACGATGTCACCATTTTGGGAGTCCGCTGAGAAGACCTGCCGCTCTCCAGAGTGTGTCCCGAAGGGCTTCGACCGACTAACCGTGTGAGGCAAGTATCGGGGATGGCCAAGGAACTCGGATTTTGCCCACAGCTCAGGGCTGCTTTGATAGATCTGGAGCAGATTTACTTCACCATCTCAGTCTTCCAGCGCCATCCTCCCTTCGTTCGAGCCCCTTGGGAGTAGGAGTTCCTTTTCGGAAAGATCGTCGCGCAGAAACCCATTCTCGATCGGGTCTCAAGCAGCCCTTTCCAGAGCTGGGTTCAGGGTCGCTACTTTGAACCCAGCACCGCCAAGTCTACGAGACCCGAACCCACAGATTTCGGAAGACCTTGGCCAGATGGGATGCCACAGTTCGGTCAAGCAGCGGCAGGCTCTGCGCCTCAGCTGCAAGCTGCAGATCTGAATGCAGTCACTCGAGAATCGCTTGGTACGAGTACTGTCACGTCTAAGTAAATTGAACGGCTTCAGCTGAAGTCGCCTGCTGACTTTCGGATGGAGCACATGATGTCTTCCACGAATAGCTGACACGAAGCTCACAGCTGGGCTGTACAGTGCTATGAACTTCGAAGCGAAGAAGGATGCCATGCCATTATGTGCCATTGTTCACGTGGTACTTACCCAGTGACCTCGCAAGGCGTGCACCCCCCCGTCGTTAGACATTGAGCAATGATTCAAACGCCTGAGGCACCCTGAGGAACGAGTGGCCTTGCCCGAACCGCGAGCTGCGCAGTAGCTCCGATAGGGCATGAACTGAAACTTAAGCAAGGTCTGTCGTAGCCATCGGCCGCTCTAGTGGCTGAGTGCCCACGGATGCCGGCCCCAAAGAAAGCAACGACAAAATACATCTCGAGTTCACTGCAGCCGGACCCATGAACTCAGCACCATCCGAGCAGGTCTGGAACGGTCTCAGCGTGTATTCGGGTGCCAGGCTCACACGGGAAACTCAAATCGTAACTGAAGGCAAGAGTGAATTGTCGGATGTTCTTGGACGTTGCGCCTGCTACCCTTGTGCGAAACTGCGCCGGCTCCACTGTCCCTCGTGCCCAGAGCAGCAGACACTTCAGATTAAACGCACCAGACAACGGACTCTGGGCACAATTGTATGGAAAGGCGCGAACAAACGCGATGCTTTTCTACGTCCGTTCATCAGGGCATAGGCCTGCCATGATACAGTCGGAAAGGCCCGACAGCCCATTTGGCCATATGATGCCACATGGCAGATGCAAAGAATACTCGGCACATCGAGTGCTACAACAACAACTATCTAAGTCTTGGTGCATTGGCTGCCTTGCCTATCTAACTGGCAGTTCATGGAGTGGTTTGTACAGGTGGCAAAAGACAGATTGTATCAGTCTGGGGGCAGTCGCAGATGCTTTGTCAGACTAAGTCGACAAGGGCACAGCACTTTCAACGATTACTGGGTTGGGTTGGCGTCGGCGTCATCCCCCAAAAAGGCAGTATTCAAGTATTGAGCAGCTGCAGCTTAGATCACTGTGATCTTCAAAGGGTCAGATCTCCTGCAGCTCTGGTAAGGTCTCGATCACCTGCGTCTCACCTTGCAAGATGCAGGTCCACACCTTGTGCTCGTCTGACTGGGAAAACTCCCCTCCTGCAAGATCACTGAGTTGGTGCCGCCAGGTGGCTTCTCGAGACCTTTGAAGGGGTCCTCGACGTCCTCCTTGCCGCATTGCTGATGCATCCTCTGGGCGTCCTCCTGTCCCGCATGCTTCGCGCAGTGAGTGCACGTGGATGTGGAGAAGGGTCTCCGGTCAATCTACATTCCAACACGAAAGCTCAACAAACGACTCCCTGGCATCACTGTGCAAAGGCTGCAATAACACCATTTCCTGCACGGCGCGCATCATCTGCCTTTCGATCAAAGCCGCTGACGTGCTAAGGACATGAAACCCGCTTCAGGACAGCCAGCTCGGCCCAGCCACTCGCGCTGCTGTTCAGGCGTCAACGTTGCGACCTGGGCAACACTGCTCAGACCAATGTTCCTTCACAGCGGCCCCAACTCTTCAGCACGTTCTTAAGTTGCTGGCTGTGCTTTGTGCTGGGGCAGCAAAAGCTGCAGCCACTTTGTCGGGCAGTTGAACCCGAGCTGCACCATCGGAATGGCCTGATGTTCCACAAATTCTCATGTCTTGTACGGGCGATAGTCGCAGATTGAAATTATTGCCTCGCCCTGCTCCAGCCAAGCAGCTAGCAGATCCTGAAGCACCAGTCAGAGGATCGAAGCTGCTGAGCAGGTCCTCACAAGAGCCGACACACGCAAGCTCAACACCGGCCCGGAAAGCTGCTCGTGTAGACTGTATTCAGGGTTCGGAGTAGAGGGTTTTGTGATGTTTTGCGTAGAGGGGATGTCGGTGCTGAAATCGCCGCGACCGAATCAAGCTACACCACGTGCGAGTGGCTTCTGCCCATGTGCCACGAGGGCGCCTGAGCAATGGAGAAGAAGTGCTCTCTCGACAAGCAATCGCAAGAACAGATGCATGCTGCGTCGATTTCGAGCCGGAGGCTCACCCTTGAATACAGTCTCGCCTACTGCAGTTCACTGCGGCTTGTTTTGCGTTTGCTGCGGGTGGTTCTACAACATGAAACAAGAGATGATAAGGGAGGCAAGGCCTTGCTACCTTCGTCTGAGGTCCCTCAGGCCTCGCCATCACGGGCCTGCTGACCCGGAAACTTTGGCAAAAAGCCTGTCGTTAGCATTTGGAATTCAAAAACTTCACTGGGCACTTCAAACAATGAGCGGGATCTGCCCTGCAAATGCTTCCAGATCAAACAGCAGCTCGGCGGTCAGTTGCCACTGGTCAGCAGATTCACAAGCACCTATCACAGCACTGATGCCGGTCGCGTCCATTTGTAGGTTTGCAAGTTCCATGTTCTCCAGCATCCCCAAAGCTCGCTGCCATTTAGTGCAAACGGCACAGGCTCCAATGGCACTGTTGTACACAACTTCGTTGGCCTGCACGTGGTCCCTTTGAAGTTGCCGAAGAAGCTCCAAGGCTTGACTCCATCCGCTGCCTCTCTCGCAGGCAGACACGGCGGCACTGTAGGTGACAACGTTGTACAAGCCCTCCCTCCGAAAGTCTGTGAACAGGGACAGGGCAACCTGCCACCGCCCGCCCTTTTCACAGGCACTGATGGCAGCTGAAGCTGTGACAATAGTAAGTTGCACATTCTTCACAGCAAGCTCTGCGAGTAAACAGATGGCCTGCTCCCAAAACCCGGTCTTTTCACAGGCGCTTATGGCTGCATTGTACGAAACTGCGTTTGGCTGCAGGATGTGGTCGGCAATGCTTGCAAGCAGCATGATACCTTGCTGCCAGCGAGAACTCTTTTCGCAGGCGCTGATTGCTGCATTGAAGCTGGTCACATCTGCCTCCAACTCTACGTCAAAAAGTTGCGAGAGAAGCGCCAAAGCTTCTTGCCATCTTCTGCTCTTCTCGCAGGCACTAATCACAGAGTTTACGGTGATTACATCTGCCTCCACACTCTGCGTGGCTGCCTGCTGAAACAACACCAGGGCCTGCTGCCATTTTTTGGCCTTGCCACAAGCACTCATTGCAGCATTCAGTACAATGAGCGTGCACTGTAAACGCTGCAATTCCAGGTCACTCAGCAAGAGCACAGCTTCGTGCCATCTCCCCGCTGTTTCGCAGCACTTGATGGCTGCCCCATATGTGAGAACGCTAGGCCCGGCACGACGCTGCTTCAGGTCTTCCAGGATGAGAAAGGCCAGCTCCCACTGTCCACCTTTTTCGGCGGCCACGATGGCAGCAGACTTGAGCCCTACGTCTTTCTGGTCCTCTTCCACTACTGCTCCCGTGAGAAGAGAGACTGCATGCTGCCACTGCCTGCACTGTCCCAATGTTGCACCCGCATCGTGCAGAATTCCTTCGCGGTGGCCCGAAGCATCGCACATGATGTCGCAGTGTTGCTCGAGGCAAACCATCATAAGTTCCCACTTACGGCCGATTCTCCAGGCATTCACCTCACTTCGGATGCTGAAAACATCAAAACCTTGCAAGGGGCCCTGCCTCTCAACCTTCTGTGACATGTGCAGAACTTGCTGCCACTGCTTCTGTCCTTGAACTGCTGTGATAGTTGCCTGGAGTAGCCCACCGTCCGCTCGCAATCTGTCAACCTCCACGCAATGAAGTAAGTGCAAAGCAGCTTGCCACTGGCCAGCCGCACCACATGAAGCAATGGCTGAACTGTAGGCCACCACATCCAACTGCACCCGGATTTGGCACATGTGCCGCAACAGCAGCAGTGCTTCGTGCCAGCGTGAGGCTGATTGGCACGAGCTCAGAGTAGAACTGCAGATGATCACATCCAGCTGCATCTGACAGGACCCTGCTTTCCTTAGCAAGGACAGCGCCTGTTGCCACTGGCTGCCCCTCTTGCACGAACTTATGGCCGTGCTCAAGAGTATCATGTCTGCCTTCAGCCGTGTTCGCTCCATGTCATCCAACAGCTGTAGAGCTGCTGGCCATTGGTGCCCTCGCTCACACGCTGTCAAGGCCATGCTGTACATAATAACATCTGCTGGTACCCCACCCCGGAGCTCCAGAAGAAGCACAGCCTCCTGCCACCTAGCCAGTCTTGCATAAGCTTTCAAGCTGGCTCTCGTCGACTGCCCCGCCTCGCCCAAGAGATGCTTCTTCGCCCGGTCTACCATTTACGTCACACCCTGAAGAACCTGCAGAGCAGACATCCCTTTCTTGGTTTGCTTTGTGCGCCATCTCCGCATGCTTTCGGACGGCCCTGGAGCTGCGAGGCCGCTGCCTCAAGTTGCCGAAGCAACTGGCCCAAGCCACCTCCGAAGATGGGTCATGCTCCGAGATGCTGCGAGCCAGAAGCTGCTCAAGCTGCCTATGTGACACAAAATTGCTTCAAAGCTCCCGGATCCCAGCTGGCCCAGGTTTTATCAGACAATGTCCGCAGCTCGGTAGCTGCAGAAGGTGGCTCTTAAGGCGATGGCATCAACGGTGCGAACTCAGCGTTCAATGAGTTCATCTACTGAATCTACCGGCAGACCTAAGATCAGTAGTGTTACCAGGGCCCCGTCTGTGGTCCTCCGCCTGGCCGTGGACCTTGTCACCATGCACTGGGCTCTTGGGGTCGAAGCACATAAGGTCCTTAGCCAGAGAAGTGCTCCAAGTGCGAGTGGGACACCGAAATCCAACCAAGGCCCCTGCCTGAGCCATGCTTGTCAGGCAGCAATGGTTGAGGGGGCTCTGCTTTCGACAGCTGATGCGGCTGCTCCAGAGAATCGAGAAATCGAGGAGCAAAAGAAGCTTGTGCGCAACAACACATATACATTTACTGACATATACAATCATATACAGATGCATGTCAAGCTCTTCAGGCCAGGTGCCCTGAGGTTGGCGCATCTTGCGTTGTGTGCCTCAAGGCGTGCGCGAGATTCGGCCGGACACCCTAAGACACTCTTTCTCTCGATGACTCGGAGCAGCGCCAGCCATACAACTTCGTGAAGACAAAGTTAGGTCTCTTTCGATGGCTTCTCAGGTAAGCCTTACACATGCTGAAGCCAAGTTCACTACACCAGGGGCAGCTTACAGAATTCAGGGGCTTTGAAAGCTGCCCAGCCACCAGCGAAAAGTCTAAGACTTCTTCAGACAGCAGCTTGGTGCCAGCACACCTTGCGCAGAGGCTCGGAGGGTTGAGGAGAAAGCGCGTGCCTTCCAAACCCGACTCCCCATCCCACCTGGGGCACAGTGTCGAGCCCTGCCGCTGACGGCGCGCTGCACAGGGGGAATGCCTGGTCGTCTCCAGAGCCAGAAGCACTCGGAACAACCACGAATGTAGAGATATCTGGAGCGGTCAAACCATCTCCTGCATGGACAGACTGAGACACTGCACCGCACCGCAACGCTCGTGCCGAGTGCTGCCGCTTTGCTTTTGAAAAGGATACAAGGATACTCAACAGCTCGTCCGGACCGCGGAAGGTTCTGTGGATGGCCAGGCTGGACTGGCGAAAAATGGCATCTTTGCCAAATCGATCCTGTACAAATACCATGGACGGTGACGGCCATTTGGATCAGGCCATCTCAGGCCGTGTTCTTCTCAATCTCACGATCAAACTCCTCCTGGCTCGGAAAATCTCCGAAGTACAGGTCTCGGTCTCGTCGAATTTCCTCAAACTCAGACATCAAGAAAGAGGGACGATCCTCCAGGACTTTCAGAATGATTGGCAGGAGCGCTGCAGGGAAGGGATAAGCCCAACTTTCGATAGGGCGGTTCTCCAGAAAAAAAGAAACCAAGGTCCAAGAGCACCCAAGCATCTGCGAAGGAGGTCAGACAGGTCGTCAGCAGTGTCTGAAGCGGCGGCTCTGCCAGCCCCAGCTTGCTCAAAAGTGTCCCCGCGAACGAAGCCTCTGGCGAAGCTTGCTTTCTAAAGGCTTTCTTGAGGGCTTTAGGTGTGGAAGATGCAGGTTGGTTGGATCGCAGCAGTCTATGTACAGGAAATCCAACACCCATCGAGCGAAGAAAACACAAGCGGTGAAAGCCCAAAGGGGCAAGTCGACCCTAATAAATAATCTCTAGGGCTTGCTGTTGCAACCACTTGCAGTTCTTCACGTGCCGGACCCTTAATTCCTATGAAACCCGTCTCGAATGCCATCGAACCCTTTGAGCCTTGGAGCCTTGTGGGACCCTTATTGACATCATGTGTTCTGACCATGGCACGGCCCCATAAAGTGCTCGTCTCAAAGGCCCGGCAGAATCGCCAGGTCCCAGCGACAGGTCCAGCAAGGCGTGACCTTCCGGCACCTCGGCTGAAAAATAGCTTCTCAGGTTTCTCCTTCCGTGACTTCCTTCCTGCCTGTGTGCGTGTGTGCATGCATGCATACACACATACACATATTCGTGTGTATATATATATATGTATATTTTATATATATATATACATATTATTTTATATATACATATTTATATATATATATGTAAAAACATACATACAACAATATTATATGTAGACATGTCCGTGTAGATGAGTGTACATGAAAAAATACGAAAAGGCATTAGCTGACCTGAACTGATGCGGTTTGATTTGATATGATGCATCTATGTTGGTAAACAGGTGGTTAAGTAAACATGCAAACGCACAAATGGAATAATTCAATTTTTTTGTGTGAGAATGTCTAAGTGTGAGTGTGCGTGTGTGTCTGAAAGCGCTTCTTATGTTTGTGTGTTCCTTTTAAAGGGCCCTTAAGTTTAGGGTGTGTGGATGCGCCGCTACAGGACAGATGAGTTGAGCTGCGCTTGCCTTTATTTTGCTCGCCGTGACTATGGATGCCAATAGACAGTGCCTGCATGTCCAGGATTCTTGTGACGATGTGCATGCCATGCCATGCTGGCTGCAATAGTGTGGATGTGTGTGTGTGTGCGTGCGTGCGTTGAGGGGGCTCTTGTGCTTGTAAGACATGAGGTTGCATGATGGCGTTCCTGATCGATGTACTAGTGCTGCTGCTGATGATGACAATACTGCTGCTCCTCCTCGAGCTGACTACTACAGGCTGAGCGGGAAAAGCGTGTCCCGGATGTCCCGCAAGACACGTGGACTCTACTCCTACTCCTACTCCTACTACTACTGCTGCTACTACTACTACTACACTGTTACACTACTACTTACTTACTACTTACTACTTACTACTTACTACTTACTACTTACTACTTACTACTTACTACTTACTACTTACTACATACTACATACTACTTACTACGTACTACGTACTACTTACTACTTTTACTACTTACTACTTACTAC